GCATTAGGTTGCCCTCGAATGTAGTTTGTCTTTCCTGTGAATGTAACAAATAAATTATAGAAGCATAGGTCATGTAATAAGAGCTGAAATGACATTCAACTTGACAATATATTTTAATTTGTAACCTTTTTTCATATGTATTGTAGTATCATTGAATTGCCGATTGTAGTTTAATAAGATGGTTCACCTTTTGGTATCAAAATTGTTTTTTTATGTTATACGGTATACCTTTTCATTTTCTTTCCAGTAGTTGCTAGTTGTTAGCTAGTGTATTTTTGGAAATACTATTCCAGCGCCCTTAGTTCAAGTACCAGTTTTTTTTGTCAACAGGTTCTCTGGTCTGTTAATTATAAGCTCTTATAACATATACTAACCGAATTGTATAACGATTTGTTGAAAATACATTAAAGGATAATCAAATGTAAAGAATGTTTTTTCGTTGTTGTTCAAATTTATCGTAGTCAAGGAGACCGTCATGTGTTGAGCTTAAACGTACCAGAATACTACAATGCTCGTGAAAATTAACTTTGCAAGACATCAACACGACACCGAAAGAACTCAAAACAGAGCGGGATTGTAGCCATAGACCGTCTGTTTCGCTATTATTGCAGCTCTTCAGTATGGCCTAACCACTAGAGAAAGCTCTGTTGAAAAAACCCGCGCTCTCTGATTTACCAGGGGCACCCAACGAGAACATAGTTCAAAACCATGACATAGCATTGTTAAACGTATTTTAGTGTTTAAACCACGGTAGATATAGGCACATTTTTATCCCCCAAAATTTTTTCATCTATTCGGATTTCCTAGCTGAACGTCTAGTGATCCGAAAATTCTAGTGATCAAAACTTATCTTTTCGAAAACTTCGGCCAGAAAAAAGGCTCCCGAAAATTCTAGGTGACCTTTTTAGGGTAAAAATCCGGGGCAATTATACCATTTTTTAGATGTTCGAAAATTCTAGGAGAGGTAGGCAAGCAAGAAATTTTACAACAAATGTTCCGAAAATTCTAGATCTCAAATCGTCTTTCGAACCGATATTTTCCTAAAATTGACGTTGGGTGCCCCTAAGTTTACCCTGACCTAGAACTCACAACACCCACAGAAGACAGAACCATGCCATATCACGTGTCTCCTGGAGGACAAGAGGCCAACAAGTTGAACTCTCGCAAAGAAAATATAAATGAGCCCTCGCTAGCAGAAAAGAACTCACGAATCGGGTAGAAGAACTGCTCATGCAGTTCATGCAAATCTCGACAAGGAACACAAGGAGGTCTGGAAGTGGTTTCGTCAAAACAAGATTGAACCCTGAAAAATGCAAGGCGCTGGTTCTAGCGCCAAAGCCTAATGCTCGCGGTTTGCTGAAGGTGCTGCCGTACCACTAGTTCAGTACTATAATCAGGGATATGTTTGGGTTAACATTGGACGATTACCTGAATTTTGTAAAACACATTGCGAAAATTAGCACTGATGAAAGTTGGAAAGTAGCTAGATGTTCTTTGTAGACCGTATAGAATATACACTGAGGACTGTCTTAATGGGGTTAACCGTCAGTGCAGCCGTCAAATGGCCTAAAATTTAACCGTCAGCCGTCGAAAAAGGTTTTTTTCTTTACTGTCAACCGTCAAAAAGGCAGATTAATATTAACCGTAAAAAAGTTTCAAGGCTTTCAAAAAATGTGACTTTTTCAGCCGATCTGCCCGGTCTTCTGGCTTCGATCCCTACTGACCACCTAACCAGCAGAAACCGGAAACGGGCTTTGAAAAAATCTAGGAGAAGACCAGCAAACGGCGATGCCGTTAAGAAATTTCAAAATTCGTTTGGGGCCCTTTTGCGAATGCCACAATGTTGGGGTGTATTGTAAGCAGTTTGCATTGCAAGTGTCAACAGATGAGATTCACAATGACAAATCGACACAAAACTTAGTCGGATTAACGGTGTTTTTTCATACTTTCCTAATATTCGTTCAAAGGAGCAATTACCAATGATCATGTATTCGTTCGATGAGCAAAAAAACTACATCACAAATTCAAGAACAAATACATAATGCCCCAAAATATTATTGAATGTTGACGAAAATGCAAAAATCCTTATTGAATCTGATGTATGCGTAAATGTTCGTTTTTTTTCCCGCGAATGTATCTTCTTTGCGTATTATATTTCTTAAGCAATTAAGCGAAGGGGTACTGTACAGTACCGCAAATGATCTGTACAGTACCGCAAATGATCCCCAACCCCAAACGATCCCGAGACCGCAAATGATCCCCAAAATGGACCGCAAATGATCCTCGACCGCAAGTGATCCCTAAAGTCGACCGCAAATGATCCCGTGAAAACTTGAGGAATGGAATGGATTTTATGGGACTGATTACAAAAAAGGACTGATTATATTTCGCTCGCCTAAACGCTTGCTACGCAGGGTAAAGAAAAAGGGAAGGAGGACGCTACATCTCAGGTCAATTTATACAAGGTGAAAAAAAAAATTAAATAAATCTGAAAAGGTATGGTATTAACCGTATACTTCTTCCTTTGTCGATTGCTTCAATTTTTTTTTGGAAGAATGTTTCGTCTTTTGAAAAATTTAAGACAGGCAGGACGTTACGCCGTAAAGACTCTATTATTTTAACGCCTTAAGAAGCTCAATTTTTCTACTGAGGAATACAAAGCTGGGCACCCTCTACATAACAAGAGCTTTATTGACTTTACTGATCTTTTTGAAAGCGTGAAATTAATCGATCAGACAGAATATTTAATTTTGATCTTTCTCTTAAGTGTTAATTTTACGTGATAAACAGCAAGACATTTGTTCGTAACTTAGGTGCCCGATACGAAACAAGACCTGATGATTTAACATAAACACAAGACAAAATGCCCCTTATCAATGTCCATCCCCACAGGTTTCGGTTTATTTCGAAATAGCAACTTTCTTACAGCTCATGAACGTGTTGTGAATAGTTATATTGGCGCTTTTATGTATATTCATTTGTTGTTCCTTTGCTGAAGGCAGTTACCAGGAATCTAAACCTGGTAATGAGAAACACAAAGCCAGGTGAGCGGTAGTTATCGCGTGACAAAACATCGTAGGAAACCATCACATTCACGGACTAAAAGAAAATCGCTTATGATTATTCGGATCCAGGAGGCACTTTGGAGAAAATTAAACAACCTAAAACCCTTATTTAGCGGCAATGAAGAGCTGACTGCATTTCAAAAGAGGTCAAAGGAAATGCTCTTGCATCAAAGGGCAAATCATGCCGACCAGAAACAACAATAACCGCAGAAAATGCATGTCATGACCTCTCAGTATGAAATAAGCGGCAAAAATCACATTTGCTTTGAATGATTTTTTTCATTTAGTTTTTAGTCATATATTTATTTGAGAAGTAAAATTTAGCTTTTAACCTGACTTATTGTAATAATAATAAAATCGACACGATGATCCGCTAACTTGAGTCCAAGTCATTCCTATTTTTCTTTCGGGATCATTTGCGGTCGACTTTGGGGATCACTTGCGGTCGAGGATCATTTGCGGTCCATTTTGGGGATCATTTGCGGTGTCGGGATCATTTGCGGTACTGTACAGTATTTACGTAAATTTGGTGGAGCAGGTTCTTTGGTCAGTCCCCATCACTGTATTCAACATGGCCAATATTTTATAGTCTCAGATTATGGTGATCATTCCATTAAAATTTTTAATCTTGAGGGAAAGTTTATTTCTAAATTTGGAACACAGGGAAACAAGGATGGAGAGTTCAATATGCCCCGTTGCTTGTCAGTTAACAAAGAAGGATTGTTAATGGTCTGTGATGGAAGTAATCACAGAGTTCAGGTATTTGAACTGAGTGGAAAGTTTGTTACAAAGTTTGGAAGTGAAGGTATTGAGGGAGGAGAGTTTAAGTTTCCAGTGTGAGGGGGGCGTAAGGGTTTGCGGTATTGCGGTATTGGGT